TCGGAGCAAATCTACCCAGACACCGACACCAACATCGACATTGAATGAATGGGCCATGAGACACCGAATGGAGGGATTGCTGGTCGCCAACGTCACGACATGCATGGTTGGTAAGGCTGTCTTTCTGGTTAATGTAACGCCTTGATAATTGAATGGTTAGTGACATGTCAGTTGAGTGACACGTATCGGCGTCACTTTGTGGTACCTGCTCACACATGCAGCGCTGTGTAAAAAGGATGGAATTGAGGAGGTGGGTGAGGAGTGGGCAGGATACGCACAGTCTGAGGAATACGACTACTTTTGCTGCATTTGTTCACGACAAAAGATTCGCAGGTCAATTGGTTGCGTGTGAAGCTCGAATTGCCTTGACTGATTGCAAAGGCACTACATGGCATGCAAGGAATGCAGGATTGAGTCCATTGCATGGCAAAGAATTGTCATGGATTGAATAGAGGAGTAGATTTTTATGCATCTAGGTGATAGGTGGCAGAACACTTGACACACTTGTGCGGATTGCGTAGCACGGAAGAACCCGGGGCCTAACGAAGTACCCAACTAAAAGACATTGTACCTGACACCTTCCAGACACCACCCCTACGTGTTAAACTCCACCTGCTTTGCAGAACACTACAGAGCAATCGATCCCAGTTGCCCAATCTTCTGAACCAGGACGAAGGTGCGATAGGCGTCGGTGCAGAATGCAGCCAATGCACGATGACAGGGGAAATTGTCACTACCGGCAACCAATGTGACGAGAGGTAGTGAGGACGTCTCCACTCCAGCAAAACGTCCCTCCTATTTGCTTTGCTTTCTCATCAAGCTTATTATCATTTACTCCAAGTGTCTCCTCATTCTTCACTTCTTTCTCCATCCTGCTCTTTGGCCCCTTCTTTCAATAGCTCCCTACATTCTGCTTTCTCTTGTCATATTCCCACCTCCCTCTTCCCACGGGCGTTCAGTAGGAATTTCAGCCATTTCATAGATTGCGTTGGTTCCTTCCCATTCTTCTTCCTCAAAATTAACCCACTTCTATGAGGGATGAAATTGAGCATTTGCTGCAATCTGATAAGCTTCATATCAGATGTTTCCATAGGGCTCTCTTCTTCCACGTAAACATCTGTCTGAACTGCTTTGTGGCACCTTCTATTTTGGCGACCTACACGTTATTGATGTTAAAAATACACTCCTTGAATAAGCAAGAGCACCTTGCCACATGATGGGCAAAATGGTGGTGTTGCCTTATAATAAGAACTTGGCGAATACACTAGTTTTAATGAGCCGTGAGCGAGCCCTTTGAAGTAATTTACACCAGCCTCCCCACCGCTACCAAACGAAATTCGACTAATCATCTAGCTCGGATTGGACCAGGAAGTTATAGAAGATGAAGGAAAAGTGTTGAATAATCCATCTGTCAGACAATGATAAAGCCAAACATGTGATGGGGATTCTGAACAACCACCGACTAAATGCCGATTTGGTAATGAGGTCCTATCCAGGCCAATGTCTGCAACCACTCACAGTCAATTCCAAATCAGCTCTGGCATGAATTAGAGAGTCTTTAGTGCTGACCCAGATGATATGTTGCATTCTTGATAGAAGTGAGTGGTTAGAGGGGCAGATGGATTTGTGGGCAGGCAGGTGAATTAATGATCATTATGCAAATAAGTTACATTTCCAGTTACCTTTACCGGCCAACAAACCCTAATCTGGTAGTGTACTAGGTTTCAGTTGGAGATTACGGCGACAAAACTCGTGAGCACTGTAAAAACATTTACCATGCAGGTAAATACGTAGGGTTGAAGTCTTCAAAACATTAGAAAATGTTTTCTTTTCAGCTAAGGGAATGAATGAGACACCAAAGCCAAGTTGTTCTTGTTTTGTCACCGAGACGGTTACACAATCCACGGAGGCAGGAGAAGAGGCATTGCGACACAGGCATGCCTGCACGTACATGCTTAGACCGAGCAGCAGTAGTAGCAGCGGCACAGACGTACGCTAGGCGTGGACGTGGACTACACTCAAAGCGGCCAATCGATGCAAGATTGTCGGTTGGTCGGTCGGTCGGTCAACGCAGATCGGTAGCTTGCATGAATTGAAGATTCAGCGTTTGATTTTCTCGCAGCAATGGCCATATCTGCTCACTACCACCTGTTTATAATCCAGCAGTTTGTCAGGCACTGTCAATGAACTAGTTGATTTCAGGCTGTAATTTAGTAAGCCTCAATCTAATCTGAGCCAGGCTGTTTGAATCCGCCGTCAACTGCGAGAGGGAGACATGGGAGTACTCTAACCACGGTTCTAATCTTTTGCTCTCAAACTCGCTGATCTTCCAAGATTAATCCAGTTGAAGGTAGTACAACATGAGACCAAAACTAATTGTCGTGGCTCCTCACATCTGCTGCTTCTAGACATTGGAAGCGACTTTAACAGACGTATGATTTCACGCAATCATGCCACCACTAAATAATTGCCACATGGCCGATTCATGTTGCACGATCTCAGTCTTGACGGAAACAACGTAAACTACACTGGAGTTTAGGGTTATGTTATTCTAAAGCAGGGATACATTGCTTGCTTCGGCCATCCTAACGGTGCTAACGGAGCGCCTGGACAGACGGTTACTGCGTTCCATTCCGATCTAATGTAGAGAATATACCTACATCCCCACGAGGTTACGCATGGACGCATTTGACACCTTCTCGTGTCTCTTCAATGAAGCAGCTGCTTGGATGAACTCTCGCCCTAATCTAATCGTGGAATCGTTGTGCTTACTTCCACTGTGCACGGTGCATCCTTGCTCTCTATTCTGCGGGTGCGCGTTACTTTCTGCGAGGCAATTGACACCTCGAGTGTCACGGTAGGTAAATCCGG